CAGGGTGTTAAATCCTGTATCATGTGACAGTACTTCTAAATTGATAAATTCTTAGTTTACTAGGGTCATATCCAGCAACTTTAATCATATACTTGACTCTGACACTTGACAGTGAGAATTGTGAATTTTATGTTGGTTGAATCCTGCAGTTCTTCCAGGATATATACAATATATTTCATTATTTATAGGCCTACAATTTCTATGTCTGGGTTATATTGTGCTCAACTTTAGTTACTGGGCTTACTGGGGAGAGGAGGCAAGAGTAGATCATAATATCATGCCAGATGGAAGCTGTAGGCCAAGAGACTTGGGAGGGTCTGGAACTCAAGATACTCAAATCTGTTTACCCAGTTTTCCTCATCTAGTGTCTCATGGCCCAGTCAGGGCCTCACCAGTACAGACTTACCTTGATGGAGATTTCAGCCTTTTATGGTGCTTTGCTATTCCTAAAGTGAAGCCAGAGCCAGATCTTTGGGCTTTTATTCTCACTTTAGCTCAGGAGATGCAGGCCTTTTGCTGCCAAAGAGACTGTCTAGATCTCATACTTAGATTTTATTGGTAATTAATCATCCTCCTTCTCTTTCTCAAATGCACTTAGAAACTGCCATTCAATTCCACACTCTTTGGAAATATTGATTTTATAGTCTGTTCCCTGATTTTCTCAAATGCCTGGATACTGCCAGTGCCAGTGATTTCCTTCCACTACTATTCCAAGAAATTCACCATTGAGTAAGAGTGTATCTGCTTTTCTGTAGCATGCTATAGTATGTTCATACTCCATGATTCAACATTGAAATCCAGAGCTCTCCTCCCTCTAAAAAAGTAATTCAGAGCCCAGAGTGGGCAACTCAGCAACTTGGTGAGACTCTGTCTCAAAAAAAAAAAAAAAAAAAAAAAAAAAAAAAAAAAAAAAAAAAAAAAAAAGAGCCTGGGGATATAGCTCAGTGTAAAAGCACTGGGTTCCATCCCTTATAAACAAAAAATAAACAAACAACTCCCTAAACATTGTAATCCATTTTAGTGGCCATATCCTATGACAACTCTTGGACCAGCTGTTTGGGAAGACTGTGAGATGGAGATTTGTATATAGGAATTTTGGGGAAGAAAGAAAACAAATATGATTCTTCCAATGAAGGAGTCAAACTTGGACACAGTTGTAACAAAGGCCTCCAGTCACCTGATAGCTCTAGAATTGTGCTGTCCTTCAAAGTTGTCTCAACTTGGTGCACATGGATTGGGCCTGTACATCTCTTAACTGAGCAACCTACTGGAGTGTACTATGTTCATGCCTGAGAATAATTTCTGGAGAACAACTGAGCTGAGGTAGCTGCTAATTCTCCCAGCAAACCTCAAAGGGTGGGGATAGATATAGTCCATGCCAGAATCACTAGTGCCTAAAAAAGGGAAATTAGCCCATGTGTAATATTTGAGATCAGAACTGTGATTTACTATTTGTTTGTTTTTGTGATACTGTTAGATTGAAGCCTGAGGCACTCTACTACTGAGCTGTATCCCCAGCCTTTTAAAAAAATTTTTGAGACTAAGTTTTGCCAAGCTTCCCAGGCTGGTCTTGAACTTGAGATCCTCCCACTTCAGCCTAAGTACCTGGGATTACAGGATTGTACCACCATGTGAGAACTGTGATTTCTAAATGGCAGTTATATGCACTCTGTAATGTTTGGCTCTTAAGAGAATCAGAGAAGAGTCAAATATGTGATTCAAATATGGAACATGTGATGAATTTCCTTTCAAAATTTGTCAATGGATGAAAATTTCTTTGCTCTGGAACAAATCAGGTAGCATCTGTCAGGTAGCATCTATCAGTAGATTAGAGGTGATTAATTGAGGTGATTAATGCAAACTTTGAGTATTGAAATTTCTAGAGAGAAAGGGAATAATAACATCTATGAGGCCAGAAATGTGTGACATTGACCAAAATTTGTGAAAAAAGAGCAAGCAGATATTAAATACCAGTTATTCTTTGAAAAGGAAAAATATAGTATTTGAAGTGAGTACTATCTTACAAAGAATATAAACCTAATTTTGAAAGCAGATAATCAGCTAATTGCAAGAAAGTGTTATGAGGGAGGAGGGGGTGAAGGGAGGGCAGGGACAAAGGGAAAAAATGAGAACCAAGACCTGTTATATAAAGGTACAAGATCCCAATAATGAATGTAACTGTACTGTATACCTAGAATGTACCAATAAACTCAATAAAAAGAAAGTGTTATGATAAAGGATATAAAAACATAGACAATAAGAGGCTTGGGGAGGAGAGAAGAGGGTGAAGGGAGGGCAGGAACAAGGGGAAAAAATGAGAACCAAGACCTGTTATATAAAGGTACAAGATCCCAATAATGAATGTAACTGTACTGTATACCTAGAATGTACCAATAAACTCAATAAAAAGAAAGTGTTATGATAAAGGATATAAAAACATAGACAATAAGAGGCTTGGGGGAGAGCCTTGATTAAACAGTGCTACCACTTTTTTGCTAGGAGTTCCAAGATTAAAGAGAAATTCAAAGTTCTAAGAGATATTGACTCATTTTTCAACTGGAATTTTAAGAAAGAGTTACTTCTCCAGATTTAGAAAGCTTTATGAGTTGCAGTGGGCAAAATTCTACAACTAAGCATATCAGGCTGAAACTGTAGAATATCCAAGTTAAGAAAAATACTACAGTGAATAGCTTAATTTCACACAAAGGAATGATAATATAAATGACTTCTCATCAAGTACCATAAATTTTTGGGAAAACAATGTCTTTAAAGTAGTAAAAGATCATAAGTACTATTTTAGAATTCTACACCCAGCTAAAATAACACACAAATTTGTAAGTGTAATTGAAAAAAATGCAGATGTACAAAATGAAGGTTTACCATATAGGCCATGGAGGAAAGAATTCTTAAAAAATGCACCATGGTAAGAAGACAAATGAGGGCCAAATGATGGGGTAGAATATAAGAATAGAAAACAAACAGAAAGGGGCCGGGGATTTAGATCAGTGGTGCTGGCACTTGCCTCTCAAGCACAAGGACCTATGTTTGATCCCTGGTACCAAAAACAAACAGAAATTGTTACAACATTTTGGTAAATCTAAATAATAAAAAAAGAAAAAAATTAGCAATTTGTTGATTTTAGTTTTATCAGTAATAATTTCTTTTGTTATGAAGACATGGAAAAATAATGGATATTTTAATATTAGAATGGTGTGCATAGAAACTGACCCTCCCATATGAACAAAAACCAAAACTTCCCTACCACCCCCCAAAAACCAAAATACAACCTAGTGGGAATTATAATTTTATAAAATAATGTGGAAGAGCAGACAAGCAAAGATACTTAGTCATCAGAAGTTCTATAAGTGCCAATCACCATATGAAATGATGAAAAATGATACTCCAAAAGTCATGCATACAGAACATAAATTCTTAAAATTTAACATTTAAAACCTTACCATGACCCTTCAGATACCTCCTTCCACTCTTCTCAAGTCCTCAGAAGGACATCCAATTTTTAAATCCCTGTAGTCCAACCCTAGTCTCATGTGTCCTCCTGTTAACTTTCTGTGTGTATTCCAATGGCCCAAAAGTTCCATGTATCTATTTATGTACATACACACAGAATTAAATTATAAAATTAACTGAATTCTGTTATTAAATCCAACATTTTTAATAATTTGATACTTTGTAGTATCAACTCCCCACAAACAAAAACCAACAAAATCCCAGAAGCTCAACAGTTATTTCATGATCAGAAAGACTGAAAATAAATTTCTTCAATGGATATACCAAGCATTTACAACAGAAGTAATGACTGATGATAAAATTTAGAATTGTTAACACATGACCTAAGTTAGGACTACTCCATCAGCCAAATTGTTAAAGAAAGTCATATCCAATACAAATTAAGGAAATATAAGATGTAAGATGCTTGTGAAAAGACAATACTGTATTTTCATTTTTAGAGCTACTATTGTCCTTACTAACCAACCAAAAGAATCTACAGATAGATCATGAAACCATTTTCTTGGATATTAGATCAACATATAAAAGAAGTATTTTTATACACTAGTAAGAATGTACAAATAAATTTGAGATCTTGTAGTTGTAAAAACATGAATATAGCATTATGAACTTTTTCAGAACCAGAGAATTATATTAATAACATACAAGAAGAACTGTATGGAAAATAGCTGGTTCTTTTGTGAAGGAAAAAAAAAAACTCAGTTAAAACAACAGTAGTTCTTTGCTAACCAAATCATTAAACAAACAAACAAACAAACAAACAAACAAAAAAACCAAGGAAGGTGAATGATCATTCTTCCCAGTTCTGTCCATTTTGTAAACAATAGACATTAGTATAGTACAGCTATTTGTGAGATATCCCAAAGGGGGCTAACTTTTCTTGAGGAAAAATTCCATAGTGAGAAGGTAGACAAACATTAGCAGAGCCTAGAGGTCGTGTCCTTAAACAAAAGATACTTAATAACTGCTTTGGGACAAAATTGGTCCATGGGTAGAATGTCGGAGAAAAGGTGGCTTTTAAGAGAAAAGTGCTGGAGCTGAGGTCTGAAGTAAAACTTGGGGGTAAGCTGGGGATGGTAGCATATGCCTGCAATCTTAGCACTTGGGAGGCTAAGGCAGGAGGATTGCTGAGAGTTCCAAGTCAGCCCGGGCTCCATAGTGAGTTCAAGGGCAGCCAGAACCACATGGCAAGACCCTGTGTCAATAACAACACACATGCACATATTCATCAAAAAGCAAAACTAAAGACTCGGAGGAATTCAAACTTCTCAAGGATGACTTCTATAGGGAAAAAGGAAAGAGTAGCAGTCTCTAGGTCTGAAAGTAGACTGTCAAAGAGCCACTCCTCCCCACCACACTTTTTTTTTTTTTTTTTTTTTTTTTTTTTTTTTTTTTTTTATTTTTTTTGCTAATCAGAAAGTCTTCCAGACTTTCTAAAACAGCCACTTATTCAAACTCTACAACATCGCCTACATTAAAACAAACAAAAAACAAAAAACAAAAAACTATCCGTTGGGTATCCTTTAGGTTGTGTAGTGCACAAACAATAGCCGTGAGAAGACCCTCACTTGGACCCCAGAAGAGTGGTGAAGTGTTGCAGGAAGCAATTTATTCCTGAAACAGGCGTCTCCTGGCTTTGCAATGAGGACCCAGACGCACTGGGCGGTCATGGGGACCAGGACTGGGAAAGGGAGGCAGAGGTTGGAGTGGTGAGGTGGGGAAGGGCCTCAGCAGATGGAAGTTGTCCTGGTCGAAGAAGAGGCCAGGAGAGCCACTTGCAAAAGGAATGATGGGGACCACCAGAGGCCTTGGCTCTGGGATGGAGCCCTGTGGGTCAGGGCTTGATACTGCTGTGGGCCAGAGCAGAAGCCCAGCAGTGAGGCCGGCTGGAGAGTCCCCGTAAGGCACCAGGAACACGGAGTGCGCATCATCCTGGGCTTGGACCTCTTCGTGGTCGGCCATCTCTGGGATAGAAGCACAGAATCCCTGCTGCTCCACCAAGATGACGATGTTGTTCTCCTGGGCTGCGCCCAGGCAGGCACCCTGCGCGTCCAGACCTTCATGAGAGTCGCTCTGCCCTCCGGAGCCTCCGTCGGTGGAGCACAGGAGGTTGTGGGGGCCCAGGATGACGGTGTGGTCTTGCAGAGTCACTTGCAGGACCGAGTCAGGCATGGCCTCCACCACCAGGTTGAAGCTGTCCAGGGGCAGCTGCAGGGCGCAGCCCTCTGACAAGATCACCATGGAGGAGAGCGCAGGCGCAGCCGGCGGATCCGCTGAGTCTTCCTGGACTGGCACGGAGCAGGTCTCTGGGCCAGCGTGATCCTCCAGGCCGGGCTGCGGTGTGGACCAGGTCGCAGAGTAGACGCCTGCGCTGTGGGGCCGGATGCCCATCATGTTGATGGCGGTGAGTGGGCTCCGGGAACTGCCTCCAGGCGTGCACTGTGCTGTCCTGTGCGTGGTGACAGGTCAGTCTTCTGAGGGGGAGGGGTGAAAATTGAGGCGAGTTGGGCCGCTGGGTGGCCTGCCGTGCTGGTTTGTGAGTAGCTTCTGCCCCTGGCCTCGGTTTCCTCCTTAGAACCTCTTGTCTTCTTCACACAGTTAGGATGCGCAGTAGGTGGCGTGTTCTGTTGCAAGTGATGATGGGAAACCAAATCGCAAAATGTCAGCCTAGGCCCTGCCCCTAGGCGGGCTCTGCCCTAGGGATTGACCAATAGTAGCATCCGTGGTTGGTAGGTCACAGTTAGATAATACTGTTATGGTCCAATAGAGGGCAGAGCAACTTCCTTTCTCAGGGTTGTCTTCAGATGTGGAATTCATGGCTTTTCTTCGTTGTCGTCTTTCTGGTACCTCAGAAGTATTGCGGGAGCAACGAGGGTGCAATTTTGGACTGTAAGGCCAAAGTGAGACCCTGAGATGTAAGCCGGTTTGCTCTCAGGTCCTGCCCTGGAAGCGTCCTCTTTGCCCTATAGCCAAATAATGCAGTATGTTTTGGCATGGTATCCTTACGTTTTGTTCCTCCAGTTGTGAATGACGATACTCTTTTGCAGAATTTGGAGGGCAAAGGAATGCTAGCCTCGTTTGATATAAGCAGCTGCTGCTTTATCTGAGGATTAATACAAGAGTAATTATTATGCTAAGATCAGCTGAAGTAGTTTATATAAGTTGACCAAAGCTAAATTTTTTGGTACAGTATATCTGTTTTTAGTCTTAATTTACAAATGACCAAATGTTCTCTAAAAGCCATAGCAAATTGCCCAGGAGTTAGGAAGTAGCAGAGCTGAATCTGGCTTTTCCAGTTCCATTTAGTATATGTGCTGCTGAAGTGGGCACATTTAGCTCCATTTAGATAGTACAGTTAGAGTGTTAGTGCTTTTTATATGAGTGTTAGTTTTTAAACATTTTTATCAGGGCATGATTACATTACATAAGGATTACATTCATTGTGGAGAGTTGGTACATTTACATACCACATCTTTTCTTTTTACTTTTCCTTCTCCTCCCCTCCATGCCCCTCCTTCCATCTCTTGGTTCCCTTCCCATTTACAAAAAAATGCTTCTTCCTATTTCCTATTATCTATTTTGCTCTTTAGCTTATTTAGACTTTGGGTTTCTCATATTAGAGAAACCTTGTGATTTATAATTTGGGTTTCTCATACAAGAGAAACCAACAGGATATTTAAGCTTGTGTATCTGATTTATTTTACTTAACATCATGGTCTCAAGGTGCATCCATTTTTCTACAAATGATTGAAGTTTATCTTTTTTTGTGGCAGAGAATACTCTACTGTGTATAAATACCACATTTACTTTATCCATTTATCTGTTGATGGACATACAGGTTGCTTCCAAGATTCAGGTATTTTGACTTGTGCTGCCATAAACGTGGGTATATACACATCACTGTAATATGAAGTCTTTAACTCTTTTGGGAAGATGCTTAGATGTGACATAGCTGGGCCAAATGGAATTTCTAGTTTTAGTTTTTTGAGAAATTTACAAACTGATTTTCACAGTTTACATTTCCATCAACAATGTGGAAGGGTTCCTTTTTTAAAAAAATCTTTTTGAGTTTATTGGTACTTTTTAAATATACAGTACAGTCACATTCATTATTGGGATCTTGTACCCTTACATGACAGATCTCGGTTCTCATTTTTTTCATAACCCTGACCTCCCTTCACCCACTCCACCCTCCCCTATTTACAAAGACACTGTTTCCATTTTTTCCTTTTTTCATATATTTTCTTGTCCCTTATTTCCTTTCCCCTACTCTTTCCACTTCCCCTGCCCCTTAGCCCTTTTGTGGAAGGGTTCCTTTTATTCCTATTTTCTTCAGGGTTTTTATAATGAGTGGATGTTGGATTTTTTAAGGGCCTCTTTTTATTTTGGAGACAGAGTTGTGTTAGATAGTTCAGGCTGTCCTTGAGCTCACTGTGTAATCCAGGATGGCCTCAAACTTGCAACAATCCTCCTGCCTCAGCCTTCTGAGGGCTGGGATTATAGGTATGCTCCACCATGTCCAGCTTTAAAAGCATTTTGTATCTTTTGAGATGATCATGCAATTTTTGTCATTGCTCTTGTTTATGTGATATATTACATTTATTAATTTATATATATTGACCCATCCCAAAGATAAAGCCCACTTGGTCATGGTGCATGATCTTTTTGACACTTTGCTGCATTGTGTTTGCCATTATTTTCATTAGGATTTTTGCATCTGTGTTTATTAAAGAGTTTGGCTGTAGTTCCTTTTTTTTGTGGGGATCCTTTTCTAGTTTTGGAATTAGGTAATGCTACTTCCAGGAATAATTTTGGGAGTACTACTTCCCTTTTAATTTTGTTGAAGACTTTGAGGAGTATTGGTGTTAGATCTTCCCTGAAGTTTCTGTAGACTTCAGCAGTAAATCAATTAGATCCTGAGTTCTTCTTAGTCGGTAGTTTTTTAAAAATTACTGTTTCAGTTTCATTGCCTATTATTGGATTATTTAGGTTTTTATATGTTTTTCGTTCAGTTTAGGTAATTCAGGTGTATCTAGAGATTTGTTCATTTCTTCAAGATTCTCCAATTTACTGGAGTACAGGTTCTCAAGTAGTTACTAATAATCTTCTGGATTTTGGCTGTGTCTATTGCAAATTTACTTTTTTTCATTTCTAATTGCATTGATTTAGGTCTTTTCTTTCTTTTTTTGGTAAGATTGGCTAAGGGATTGTCACTTTATTCTTCTGATGAATTACTCTTTGATTAATTGATTCTGTGTATTGATTTTTAGTCTCAATTTTGTTAATATCTGCTATGATCTTCATAATTTTCTTCCTTGTTCTGGCTTTGGATTTGGATTGTTTATGTTTTTCTAGGACCTTAAGGTATATCGTCAGGGCAAGATTTGTATATATACAAATGCAAGTATGTATTTATATGGGCTCACTTGATTTTTGTGATATGGATAGTCATGACTATAAACTTCCCTCTTAGGACTGCTTTCATTGTGACTCATAAGTTCTGATATGTTGTACTGGCATTATTGTTTGATTCTAGGAGCTATCTAATTTCTCTGTAATCCATTTATTATTCAGAAGACTATTGTTTACTTTCTTGTGTTTGTATAATTTCTGAGGTTTCTTTTGTTACCCATTTCTTGTTTCATCGCACTGTGATCTAATAGCTTTCATGGTATGATTTCAATATTTTTTGCATTTACTTACGCATGTTTTATCTGCTAGCATGTGGTTTATTTTGGAGAAAGTTTTGTGTAGTGCTGAAAAGAATGTGTGCTTTGTTGTTGCAAGGGGAATTCTGTAGATACCTGTTAAACCCATTTATTTGAAGGTTTGATTTAACTGATACTTCTTTGTTGATTTTTTTTTTTTTGGTCTAGTTGATCTATTTGTGATAGTGGGGGTATTGAGGTCTCCCACTCTAATTGCAATGATGTTTGTCTGATACTTTGTCTACTAGTGTTTGTTTTATGAAGTTGAGTGTGTCAGTGTTTGCTGCATGTGTTTATAATTTCTATCTCTTCCTGTTGAATTGTTCACTTAACTAATATATAGTGACTTTTGCCTCTTCTGCTCAGTTTTGGCTTGAAGTCCACTTTGTCTAAAAATAGGGTAGCTACTCCTTCTTGTTTTTGGGTTCCCATTGTATGGAATATTGTTTTCCATTCTTTGATTTTTTTTTAATCTGTGACTTTCCTTTGAATTAAATATGATACTGCATATCATTGGGTTTGTTTCTTGATCCATTCTGCCAATCTATATCTTTTGATTGGGGAATCGAAACCATTCACATTGAGAATTATTACTGAAAGTAATTTCTGTCATTACCTTATTTATTTATTTATTTATTTATTTATATTTTTGGTACTGTGGATCAAACTTGGGACCTTGCACTTGCGAGGCAGGCAGCAGAACAACTGAGCTAAATCCCTGCCCTGATTTTCCTCTTTTTTCCCCTGTCTGCATAACTGCTCACCCTGCCTCCTGTCTGCATTGTCTTTATCTAGTATATCCTTAAGAAGCTTTTGTAGCTGGGTGTAGTGGTGCATGCCTATAATCCCAGCACTTGGGAGGCTGAGGCAGGAGGATTGCTGTCAGTTCAAGACCAACCTGGGCTACATAGTGAGTTCCAGGTCAGTCTCAACTACATACTGAGACCCTGTCTCAAAAAAACAAAAAAAAAAGGCCAGGTGTGGTGGTGCATGCCTATAATTCCAGCACTGGGGAGGCTGAGGCAGGAGGATCTCTGTGAGTTCGAGCCGAGCCTGGGTACAAAGTGAGTTCCAGGTCAGTCTCAACTAACTATATAGTGAGACCCTGTCTCAAAAAAAAAAAAAAAAATGGTTTGGTGGTCATGAATTTCTTAAGGTGCTCTGTGATGGAAATACTTTATTTCATCATCAATTTTAAAAGGTAGTTTTACAGGATGTATCAGTAAGGGTTGGAAGTCATTTTCTTGTAGAGCTTGAAGTACTTCACGCCAAAGTCTCCTGGCTTTAAAGGTTTGGGTTGAAAAGTCTGTTGTAATTTTTTTTGGGGGGTATTGAGGATCAAACTCAAGACCTTGCACATGCAAGGCAGGTGGCAACATCACTGAGCTCAATCCCTGGCCCAGTCTGCTGTAATTCTAATTGGCTTACTTTTATAAATTATTGTTTGCTTTTCTCTAATAGCTTTTGAGATTTTGTCCTCATGTTCAACTTCTGGGATTTTTACTATGATGTGTGTGGAAAAATTCTTTCTTTGATCACGACTATTTGGGATTCTATATGTGTCACTTATCTGTATGTTTAATTATTTTCCTATATTTGAAAAGTATTATTTCTGTAACATGCCTGTTTTATGCCATTTTTGTTGTCTTCTGATTTTTCACTAATTCCAATTAATCTTAGTCTTTTTTGTGTCATCTAGCAGCTGCTCTACCCATTTTTCATGTTCTCTTCTTTTCAAGATGTCTCTGAGCAATTGGTCACTGCCATCAGCTCTGCCTTTTGATTATGACACTCTGTCCTTAAGTAGAATTTTTAATCTCCTGGATTTTTGTTTGGTACCTTTTCCTGGCCTCAAATTCTTTGCTGAACGGGTCATTCATGTTTTGCTCATCTATTTTTTTTTATTACTGTCTTCTGTAAACTCATTCATCATTTGTTTATTGTCCATTTTTTTTTTGAGACA